TGCACATATAAGAATAACATCTATTGGATGTTGGGTAGGGAGGAAGGGGACGGGGAGAGGGGGGAGGAAGGGACGGGTATATGTATATACAAAGAGTGCAATGCGCACCACCCGAAGGATGGACATATTTGAAACTCGGACTTGGAGGGGAGGGGGGCGCAAGGGCAACATACGTAACCTAAACATCTGTACCCCCATAATATGCTGAAAAAAAAGAAGAACATCTATTGGATGTCGGGCAGGGGGGAGGGGGGACAGGTATTTGCATACACAAAGAGTGCAGTGCGCACCATCCAAGGGATGGACACGCTTGAAACTCGGACTTGGGGGGGAGGGAGGAGGCAAGGGCAACATACGTAACTTAAACATCTGTACCTCCATAATATGCTGAAATAAAAAAGAAAAAGGTTTTTTGTATATTTTTAAAACATCAAATTGTTATTGTATTTAGATAATTTTCTATTTTTTAAAAAGCCAAAATTTGTAATACATGTCAGAAATTACACCCTGAACTATTTGAAATTAAACATTTAAAGTCATTAAATCTATGATGAAAAGTTTCAGATGTCAACTTAGAAGTTTATAAGATCTACACAGATTTCCCAGTCTTTTAGAACTCTCAAGCAAAAAAAAAAAAAATTTTTTTTGAAACAGAGTCTCACTCTGTCACCCTGGGTAGAGTGCAATGGTGTGATCGTAGCTCACTGCAACCTCAAACTCCTGGGCTCAAGTAATCCTCCTGCCTCAGCCTCCCCAGTAGCGGGGACTGCAGGCATGCGCCACCAAACCTGGCTAATTTTTTCTACTTTTGGTAGGGATGGGATCTCGCTCTTGCTCAGGCTGGTCTTGAACTCCTGACCTCAAGCTATCCCCCCATCTCAGCCTCCCATAGTACTAGGATTACAGGCGTGAGCCACCATGCGTGGCCTCTCAAAAATGTTTTAAGATCAATGACCCAGTCTGTCTATACCTGAAAGCCTGAAATGACAAGGAGAAAAAGAATCATTCACACCAAAGCAACTCCACCATATCATCAGACAGCCAACAAAAGATAACTTTTTAAAATTTAACAAAGTCCAACTCCTTTTGACTTCTCCCCATAAATTTACTCTTAGCATACCCAGACCCAAATCCAACATTCCAGGTGTGAGCCTACCAGTGCTGGGGTGAAGCGATGCGAACTTTCTCATTCCAGATTTTGCATTTTCCTAATATAATCTAATGCAAGTCACGTACGTTTTTTTTTCATAGCCTAACCACACCACTGATTGAGACAGTGATTGAAAGTCCACATATTTTTATTGCAGGAACTCCTGCAAGGTCACATCTCCACTCTCGTAACTGGTACAGTTGATTTTTCTTGGACTCAAGTGAAATTTCTCACTCTTATGTTTCTCCATTTTATTAAACAGTACTGGGCAAATCTTGAGACCTTTTAGCATTCTGGCAGTCATCAAACAGATGACACTTTCTCTTTTCACTTCATAAAGGCAATAAATTTGATAAGCACACCTTCTGGATACATTTCAAACATATACTACAAAGAAAGTGATGGAGCCCCAGTTCAGAGCACCAGAATTCCAGCTGTAAGTAGTATCCACAGATTAAACCTCTCCAGACAGACACTCAAACTCATGACTCCATCTAATTCTACCACAATCTGGCACATTCCCCCATCTCACCCACTAGGTTATCATAAAGGACTTAACAAATGCCTTGCTAAAATTTTGACACACTTATCACTACGGTTACTGTATTCCTCTGAGATACCAATTTGCATGTCCTGTAGTTCTGCCTGAATTTTTTTTTTTTTTGCACGACAGGGTCTTTCATTCGTTCCCCAGGCTAGAGTGCAGTGGCGTCATGATAGCTCACTGCAACCTCAAACTCCTGCCTCAGCCTCCCAAGTAGCTGGGACAGGCACTTGAGCCACCGTGCCCAGCTAATTTTTCTATTTTTTGTAGAGATGGTCAGGATGGTCTCCAACTCCTGGCCTCAAGCAATCCTCCCACCTCAGCCTCTCAGAATGTTGGGATTACACCGCACCCAGTTATCTGCCTGAATTTAGAAGAACTACAGTAACCCTTTTCCTCTGGCTGATAAGAACAGAAAAATGACACGTCTTCCATTTTGTATTAGTTACAGAATCTCAGGAATGGCGAAGATCTTTTTTTTTTTTTTTAACCCTTTTTTTTTTTTTTGAGACAGAGTCTCACTCTGTCAACCCGGGCTAGAGTGCCAGGGTGTCATTGTAGCTCACTGCAACCTCAAAACTCCTGGGCTCAAGCGATCCTCCTGCCTCAGCCTCCTAAGTACCTGGAACTACAGGCATGTGTCATGATGCCCGGCTAATTTTTCTATTTTCAGTAGAGACGGGGTCTCGCTCTTGCTCAGGCTGGTCTCGAACTCCTGACCTCAAGTGATCCTCCCGCCTCTGCCTTCCAAAGTGCTAGGATTACAGGCGTGAGCCACTGCGTCTGGCCCAGCAAAGATCTTAAAATGTTTTCTAGTCTAATGTTTTTCAAACTATAGGTCCAATTTAGTGAGTTTCAACCAACTTATTTTTTTCCTTTAATGAAATGGAAAATGTCAGAGGGCATCATCTGTAGAAAGGATAAGTTGTGTGTGTGTGCATGTGTCTACACACAGTATGCAGGGGCACATCAAGTCGTGTTGTAAAATGTATCTAACTGTGGGGCACAGGTCAAAAAAAATGAGACACTTTTCTAGTCCCACAGCCCTACCCCCACCAACAACAAGGCTCCACCAAAAAATTCTTAGTAACCAAAAAGTCACTTCTTTGCAACCACTCTCACTTCATACAGAGAAACAAACAGGATTTTGGGCTCAGTACACCTAATATGCCATTCATTTAAAAAAAGATCAGAATCCATCTGAGGTTTCCAGTTAAATACTAAACTGCTTAGGGACAGTCATTTCTGTTTGGGTGGGAAACCTATATTTGACAAACAGCAGTCTGAAATCAATTTGGTCTGTAGCTAGAGAAGACAAACCATTCTGGGTTGCGAGTTCCTCATCTGTAACCACAGGAAAGGACTGTTAAGACTCCTCCTAGCTCTGCAATTGGGAGATTAATTGAAATCAACTGATCCAGCAGACAAGAACTATGCCCCCCCCCACACACACACCAAAACACGTCAACTATTCAACAAGTCGACTGTTGATAAATACAATCAATATAACACAAAGGGTACTGACAATAAGAACCACAGACGTACACCAAGGGCAAAAATAAATCAAAGAAGAAGTTCCTGGGATTTAGGAAAAGTGTGCCCTGGTAGGTACCAATTTCTCAAGCATCCTCTTCTCCTACACCCCAATTCACCTCTGTCCTCAAGCTATCAGTCATAGATGTGACACTCGCGTTCTTCCCTACCACCCTACCTCACTGTGGAAAAGGAAACTGAGGCATGAAGCAATGAGTGAGCGAGCTGCAGCAGTCCCCAACAAGGCTGGACTAAGAGCCCACGCCCCTAACGCCCCCCACCCCACACAATCCCGACTAATCAGAATCCCGCTGTCCTCAGCCTCCCACCTCAAACCAAACTGCAGGCGACACCGCTAGTACCTGGCCCCCTGCGCACCCGAAGCGGCCCCCAGCTCGTGCCCGCCTCTACACAAGTGTACAAGGCCTGGAACCCCACAGCCTAAAAGCAATCCCGGTTGCCAACCCCGGAAGCCCCCTCCCACGAGTGCCCACAAGCTAGCCGCCTCCTCTCGCTCCCACCTCCGCGCCGTCTGGCCTGGGCCTCCGCCGCACACCACAACACGCCGACCACGCAGCACGAGAAGACCCACACGGGGCTTTCTCCACACCCACCCCAACAACCGCGGCCGCCGGAAGCGCCCCCACGTCTCCACGCCGCCGTGGTGAGGTCACTTCCGGCGCGTCGCTTTGCAATCTTGCAGGCAGGCGGTTGAGGGGCGGGGCACCCGGGAAATTTGAGAAACTGGGAGAAAGGCGCGAGGGCCGATTTTTCAGAAAAGCGCTTGGGCCGCCATTTTGCGCGTCCCGTTTACTTATTAATATATCCGATGGAGTCTTGGCTGTAATCAGGGTCCTACCCCTAATTCCCCAGCCTAGCTGCCTGCCCCCACCACCTTGCAGACTGGATGAAAAGCAGCCACTTCCCCTCTTGTACCCCAGCGCCAATCGCTAAGCTAAGCGGACTCTTAGCGGGGTCCTGGTGATGCGGGACCTCGTCCTTGCTAAATTGCAGCGGTGGGACCCAATAAGTAGGCCAACCCCCTGACGGATTAGAGGAAACCAGAAATTTCCTCCGTGTTTGATTTTAAAAGTTTATCAGCTTCAGCTCATGTGGGGGGTTAGAATCAGCCAGTCTGTGCTTGACTGCTCCCCTCTCCCCAGTACTCAGTACATGGGAAAGTGCCACTCTCTTCCCCCATGGCATTTTAGAGTCTGGGTAGTCTTGATTTTGGAGGGCGGGGGAAAGCATACATTTAGAGCCAAGACTGAATATAATAAGGAGTTTCAGAGTTTCAAATTTGCATGGACTTACTTGAAGCCTGACACCTCATTTGGGAACCACTGCTTGGGCAGGCAGCATAGAGTTAGGTAGTAGTTCCAAACCTGGCTCTACAAAATTAGTTAAGGAACTTTATTAAATTTCCACTTTCTAGGGATGTACTTCACTCCTTCCCCCACCCCACCCACATCACCAGAGATTTCCTAGGTTGGGGTTGCAGGGGACCCTAGTCTTTTATTGTTAATAAACTTTATTTTTTAGAGCAGCTTTAGGTTCAGGGCAAAATTGAGAAGAAAGTACAGAGAGTTTCCATATATCCCTTGTACACACACACACACACACACACACACACACACACAAAACCTCTCTCCCTATGGACACCCTATGCCACAGTGGTATATTTGTTAACAATTGATGAACCATCATTATCAACCAGAGTTTATAGTTTACATTGGCGTTCACTCTTGATGTTGTGCATTCTATGGGTTTTGACAAGTGTATAATGACATGTATCCACCATTACAGTATCATGCAGAATAGTTTCACTGTCCTAAAAATATTCTATGCTCTGCCTGTTCATCCTTCCCTCCCCCAGTCCCTGGCAACCATTATTCCTTTTACTGTCTTCATAGTTTTGCCTTTTCCACAATGTCGTATAGTTGGAACCTACAGTATCAAGCCTATTCAGATTGGCTTCTTTTAGTTAGTAATATGCATTTAAGATTCCTCCTTATCTTTTCATGGCTTGAAAGCTCATTTCTTTTTAGTGCTGAATAATATTCCATTGTCTGGATATACCATGGTTTATTTATCCATTCACCTACTGAGGGATATCTCAGTTGCTTCCAAGCTTTGGCAACTATAAGTAAAGCTGCTGTTTACATCCATGTGCAGATTTTTGCATGTACTTAAGTTTCCAGTTGAGCTGGGTAAATACCAAGGAGTGCAGTTGCTGGATCATATGGTATGTTTAGTTTTATAAGAAACTGCCAAACTGTCTTTGAAAGTGGCTGTATCATTTTGCATTTCCACTAGTAGTGAACGAGAGTTCCTATTGCTCAACATCCTCATTAGCATTTTGTGGTGTCAGTATTGTGGATTTTAGCCATTCTAACAGTTGTAGTAACTTTTTGTTGTCTTAATATGTAATTCCCTAATTACATACGATGTTGAATATCTTTTTATATGCTTACTTGCTATGTGTTTGTCTTCTTTGGTGAAGTGTTTGTTCAAGTATTTTGCCTATTTTTTAATCAGGTTATTTGTTTTCTTATTGTTGAGTTTTAAGAGTTCTTGGTATATTTTGGATAACAGTTATCTGTTGGATATGTCTTTTGCAGATATTTTCTCCCAATGTGTGGCCTGTCTTCTCGTTCTCTTGATATGGTCTTTCACAGTGCAGAAGTTTTCAATTTTAATGAAATCCAGCTTATCAATTATTTTTTTCATGGATCATGCCTTTGGTGTTGTACCTAAAAAATCAGTGCTATACCCAAGGTCAGTTAGATTTTCTCCTATGTTATCTTCTAGGAGTTTTATAGTCTTTGCAATTTTAGATTTCGGTCTACAATCCATTTTGAGTTAATTTCTTTGAAGGGTGTAAGGTGTTTGTCTAGATGAACTCTTTTGCATGTGTAAGTCCTCTTGTTCCAGTACCATTTTTGAAAAAATGATCTTTGCCCCATTGTATTGCTTTTACTCCTTTGACAAAGATAAGTTGTCTATATTTATGGGAGTCTATTTCCAGATTGCCTATTCTGTTCCACTGATCTATTTGTCTGTTCTTTCACCAATACCACACTGTCTTGATTACCATAGTTTATAGCAAGTCTTGAAGTTGAGTAGTGTCAGTCCTCCAACTTTGTTCTTCTCCTTGAATATTAAGTTGGCTATTCTGGGTCTTTTGTCTCTCCATATAAATTTTAGAATCAATTTGTTGATATTCACAAAAATAACATGCAGGGACTTTGATTGGGATTGTGTTGAATCTACAGATAAAGTTGTGAAGAACTGATGTTTTGACAATATTGAGTCTTCCTATACATGAACATGAAATATATCTCTCAATATATTTAACTCTTCTTTAATATCTTTGATCAGAGTTTCATAGTTTTCCTCATATAGATTGCATTAGTCCATTTAATGTTGTTATAAAGGAATACCTGAGGCTGGGTAATTTATAAAGAAAAAAGGTTTATTTGGCTCACAGTTCTGCAGGCTGTGCAAGAAGTGTGACAGCAGCATCTAATTCTGGTGCAGTCTTCAAGCTGCTTCCACTCATGGCAGAAGGCAAAGCTGAGCTGGCATGTGCAGAGATCACAAGAAGAGAGAGGAAGCAAGGCAAGGGGTAGGTGCCAGGCTCTTTTTAACAAC